AAATAAAGAATTATTTATTTATTTATTCATTCATTCATTCATTTTGTGTGTGCGGCCAGCTCAGCCCACCAGGGGGCGGGGCGGGCTGGCATGTGGTGCTGGGGGATTGAACCGCGGTCCCTGTGTTTTGCTTAGCTTGTTCTAAGTAGGTGCTTTAGACCACTGAGCCATCTCACCAGCCCCTTGTTTTGTTTTTAAAATCATTTATTGTGTACATTAGCCTCTTGGGCTAAGAATGACTGTAAAAAAAAAATAAAAATAACCCTACATTTATTGGCCTTGGTAAAAGCATAAACATAGTCAAAACAATATGAACAGATGTTTTATAAATACTTCCATGGTAATCCACTTACTTAAATAGCTGCCTTTTAAACATAATTGCCATTACATTTCTCTGCTGTCTTAGTTCCTTGGTATTTCTAGTTGAAGACACTTGTAGCAGGGTAATTTATCTCCTTTTTGCATGATCCGATCCAGTTTTCTTGACTTTGTTTTAGAATAAATTGTGTGTCATCTAATGCAAAGTTCATGCACCCATCAAAGCCAGTGTACAGCCCTCTGTCCGCACAGTCACTTGCTTAGTCACACTGAATCTGAGATCTGTTCTACAAGTACCTGAAGATGGAGTCGGTGGGTTGCACTGTCACCTTCTGTACTTTCTGCCCTGACTCTGTTCGCCATGGCAGAATTGGACAAAGACTATGCCAAGGGGCTGGGGAGATGGCTCAGTAGAATAAGCACTTTCCTGGTAAGTACAAGGGCCTGAGTTCAATCCCTGGTTCCGCAAAAAAAAAAAAAAAAAGACTATGCCACCTACAACACTACTTTTTTTTTTTTTTTTTTTTTTTTTGCGGAACCGGGGATTGAACTCGGGCCCTTGCACTTGCCAGGGAAGCGCTTATTCCAGTGAGCCATCTCCCCGGCCCCTGGCTGATGATGTTTTAATTATTTTACTAACTTTTCTTTTTAACATTGTTTCCCAGTGATGGCTCACGAAGCACTGGGCTATGATCCTCCGGTGCATCTGGATGATGATACAGCAGATCCTGCCGCTGAATTGGTGGCCAGCCAAAACAGACTGCCTGTGCTTCATCCTGCTCCTACTGAAGCAATTAACAGCCAAGTGAGACCGCTGTTGCTCCAGCCTGCTTTTGTTCAAGTGGTCAGCAGCCAAAGAGGACAACTGCTTCTGCCACCTGTTTCCATTCAACTGGCCAGCAGCCCAGGAGACCCATTTTCTCTCCAGTCTTGTCCTCCTTTTTTTCTTCCTCCTCCTTCTCCTCCTTCTCTTCCTTCCCCCCCTCCTCTTCCTCCAGTGGCCAACAGCCAAGAGGGTGCCCTCCTTCCCCAGTCTCCTCCCCACGTGGCCAGCAGCCAAGGGGAACCCCCTGTGCTCCAGCCTGCACAACAGGTGCCCACTGACCTGACGGAGGAAGTAGAATGGTCAGAAGAGAATGTAGAGAACACCAATCCAGGAGGTATAGGGGAGCCTAGGCAGGGCTCTGGGGCTGACCGTGATGCCCAAGCACCTTCACTGGAGTCAATGAACAGCTTCATCAGTGGACTACAGAGACTTCGTGGCATGCTGGAATTCCTGAGACCTCCTCCACCTTTAGAACACAGTGTGGGCCCACTGAGAGCAAGGAGAAGGGGACGCACTTCACGTAGAGGGAGACCTGGGTCATCCCAGAGGACAGACAGCGCCAGGTAAATTCTGTGGTATATTGTAGAAATTGTGAAACTAAGCAGAACCCCTGCGCTGCCAAGGATAATTTTTCTTTTTTCTTTTTTTTGGTAGAACCAGGGATTGAACTCAGACCCTTGAGCTTGCCAGGCAAGCGCTTATTCTACTGAGCCATCTCCCTGGCCCCATCCATCTCCCCGGCCCCTATTTTTCTTTCTTTTTTTTTGGGCAGAACCAGAAATTGAATTCAGGCCCTTGCGCTTGCCAGGGAAGCGCTTATTCCACTGAGCCATCTCCCCGGCCCCCTATTTTTCTTTTTGCTGAGACAAAATACCCAATACCCTAAGGTAGAGGAAAAGCATGACTGTATTCTTTCTTATCCCAACAGGAAAGGTTTATGGTAGCTCACATTTTGTAAAGCTTGCTGTCCATACGTAGCTGGCTCTAGGGCAGGGTGGTGTGGCGGAGGGGCATCACAGGGAGAAACAGTCCATGGCAGGGCAGCAGGGAGCAGGCCTGCCTCCATATTTCATCCAGGCTGTCTGCCCTTTGGGCAGTGCCAACTACACACACAGGGTGGGACACCTTAATCCAAACATCACATGCTAGATCCAGCCCCCTCTGGAAAACCCTACCTATGCCCACATGAGTTTTGGGAGACTTCTAAACACAAGCCCTAACAGTGCCCCAGTGTAGTGTTTGCCATTTTCTCACTCACAGACCATCCCTGGGCCAGGCAGGTGTCAAGAAACAGCCAAGGGGCCAGGAGATAACTCAGTAGAATAAGCACTTTCCTGGCAATTGCAGGATTCTGAGTTCAATCCCAGTACCACCAAAAAAAGAAAGAAAGAAAGAAAAAGAAACAGCCGGGGGCTGGGGAGATGGCTCAGTAGAATAAGTGCTTGCCTAGCGAGGACAAGGGCGTGAGTTCAATCCCCAGTTCCGCAAAAAAAAAAAAAAAGAAACAGCCAAGTTGAATAGTTTTCCCTTCTTACTGAGCCAAAAAACCAAAAGTACGGCCAGCTAGTGAGCCCTTCTAGTAAGCTTCCTGGCCAGTCAAAAACTCCTTTTTGGGAGGGGACGGGACAGGACCTTGTGCTCGCCGTGCAGATGCTCATGCCACCGAGCTATATCCCTGGCCCTTACTTGTTCTTAACAGTATTCTGGCCTTAGTATGTATTTAATTTGATTGAAATGTTCTTAGGAATTGCTTTTTTTTTTCAATTGTGAATTGAATCCAGGGCCTTTGCAGTGAACTATATCCCTGGCCCTTTTCTTTCCTTTTATTTTTTTCCCCTGAGACAGGGTCTAGCTAAATTGCCCAGGCTAGATTCAAACTCAGACTGTTGGTGCCTCAGAGTCTCAGAGTGCTGGGATCATAAGTGTGTGTCGCCGCCCCAGCATGCAGTGCTGTTTTGTGTTGCTTCTGGTAGTGGCTGTGACTAATGTCTATTCACACTCTCCAAAAATAACTTGGTAAACTTGTTTAGTATCTTTGAAAAGAAACTTGGCCAGCATGGTGGTACACGTTGTAATGTGAGCCCCAAGAAGGCCAAGAGAGGAGGAGGAGCATTAATTTAAGGCCAGCCTAGTCTGCATAGCCAGTTTGAGGCCAGCCTGGACTGTTGTGAGACCCTGTCTCAAAGAAAGCAAAAAGGAAGAAAAAAAGTGAGTGATAATAGCAACTATGACATAGTAATGATCATGGAAAATTGACTTCTTAAAAACAGTGAGGGGCTGGGGAGATGGCTCACTAGAATAAGTGCTTCCTTGGCGAGCGCAAGGGCCTGAGTTCAATCCTCGGTTCCACCAAAAAAACCCCAGTAAAACTAATGCTTCCTTCTGGATTAAAATGGGCATTTTTGATTAGTGTCCAAAAGTGGTCATTGTGGCTGAAAGTGAGACACAGGTTACGTGTCCATCACAGTAAGTGTATTACAGTGGTGACATTGAAACCTGTAACATTTTGCTCAAGAGTAATGAAAAATGTAATCCAAATCATATGATAAAATGCCATTACTGGGCTGGAGCGATGGCTTAGTAGAATAAGCAGGCCTGAGTTCAATCCCCAGTTCCACCAATACTTTGTACAATTCAAATTCTAGGCTTCTAAATTGCTGAGAGCAATTTGGATCTAAGATCCCAAGAATTTTGAAGCTGTCATTGTTTGTCTATGATTCAAGTAGAGATAAAAGAATTGTGGATAGACAGGAAAACTGGGTTAAGTATTTGTTCCTTTATTTTGTGTTTCCTTTTTTTGGAGGCAGGGTCTCAGGGTTTCATGTAGTTTAATGTAGCCTTGAGCTTGCTTTGTAGCCCAAGCTGGCCTCAAACTCATGGCAGTCATCCTGCCTCCTGGAGTACTGGGATTACAGATGTGTGCCACCGTGCCCAGGGTAAAAAGGATTATTTTGAAGATAAAGAATCTCATTAAAGTGACCTGGGTTGGGGCCGGGGAGATGGCTCAGTAGGATAAGCGCTTGACTGGCAAACGCAGGGATCTGAGTTCAATCCCCGGTTCTGCCAAAAAATAAATAAATAAAATAAAGTGACCTGGGTGAGACCAATGGTGAAACAGGATTTTATTCTAAGGTTTTAGGTACAAAATGGCTAAGAGCATTGGACAAAGGACAGGCCTCAGTTTTTACACATTTGCACAAGGGGTTGGTCTTCTGCACGGAATTTGTGGGTGGGCAGAAGGAGAACAAAAACAGTATATCAACTTGTAACAGTTGTGTATCTTGGTGGCCCTGCTTAGGCACAGCAGGATGTTATAGGTACAAATGTTAGGAAATTTTACATATGTGGACAAAACTTACTGCTTTTATCCTTATTAAAACGAACAATAGGCCAGGCATAGTGATGTATACCTATAATCTCAACACTTGGGATGTTGAGGCAGGAGGATCACTGTGAGTTCAAGACCAGCCTGGGCTACCTAGTGAGACCCCGTCCGCCACCACCACAAAAAAAAAAAAAGAGAAAGAACTAGCAAGACCTGTTAGGATCAACTTTTTCAGAACTCTGGGAATTAATATAGTAATCCAGGAAGTAAAAGAAAAGTATCTGTATCTGTTTTGTGGCTTTCTCTATTCCCATCCCCTTCTTCAGCTCCTTAGGAGTCTTGAAAACCAACTACCTGCAGTTACATGAAAGCCAGCGGCCTGGTAGCTGCCAGCAGGAGCACAATAGATTTTACACCCAAAATCTTGCTATTCCTAAGGAATTTTTCCCAGTGTGACTTACCTGATGGTGCCAGCCACTTGCAAGGCTGTGAATCAGTGTGGTCCCCCAAAAAGTGTAATTTCTTTTCCCTAGGGCCTGCCTGAAGCAGTTGTACTCAGTAGGACAACAGACTAGCAAAAATCATAAAAGGGAAATCTGGGGGATGAGATCTTCATAGACGTTTCAAGAAAAACCTCTACTGTATTCCAGGGAATTTAGAAGGCTACAAACGTGCTAGGCATACACACTACTCAGCTCTCTCCCTGGCCACCCCGCCCCAAGTTTATTTTGAGATAAGATCTCCCTAAATTGCCCAGACTACTCTTGAACTTGCAGTTCTCCTGCCTCAGCCTCCAAAATAGCTGAAACAGTGAGTGTGGTGCCCTACTTCCTGGTTCCATTCAGGGTTTTTGTTTTTTTTTGGTTTTTTTTTCCCCCTTTCTATCTTTGAGACAGGGTCTCACTGTGCAGTTTAGGCTGGTCTTGAGCTCACTTTGTAGCCCAGGCTTGTCTCACACTCAAAATAACCTTCTTGGCGCAGCCTCCCATGTGCTGGGATCACAGGTGTGCACCACCACTCTTGGCTCCTCTTCAGTTCAGTCAGCATTTAGTGGTCTAGAAATGGATTGAGATGACTGAAATTTACCCCCACGTTACTGTAGGTCCCCCCCCCCAACCGGGGATTGAACTCAGATCCTTGCATTTGCCAGTCAAGCGCTTATCCTACTGAGCCATCTCCCCAGCCCTGTAGGTTGTTTTTTGTTTGTTTGTTTGTTTGTTTGTTTGTTTTCCGGAACCGGGGATTGAACTCAGACCCTTGTGCTTTCCAGGGAAGCGCTTATCCTACTGAGCCATCTCCCCGGCCCCTTCTGGTTGTTTTTGATGGTGGTCATTTGTGCTATAATTCTGCTTGTCATCTTCTGCACGCATAGGTCGAGAGCACCGCTGGATGCTTACTTTCAGTTGAGCAGGTCGCAGCCTCACTTTGGAGCCAGCTCTTATGATCCAGAGGTTAGGAACCCGGTGTCTGAGGATGTTCAGGGATCAGGTAGCTCCGATTCTGACAGCGACAACTCTGCCGAGTATGAAGAAGCTGTTGTCCAGCCAGAGGAGCCTGGAGCTGTCGCCGCAGAAGGAGAGCAGCAACCAGGTTTTGCACATAAGGCTGACAGCCACAAAGCTGTTGCATGTGATTTGTGTCCCAAGTTTCTGTGATGACATTTACATTCTCTTTTGTTACACATAAGAGAAAAAAGTTTGTTTGTTCATTCATTCACTTTTTCTTTTCTTTTCTTTTCCTTTTTCTTCCTTTCTTCTTTCCTTCCTTCAGAACTGGGAATTGAACTGAGGCCTTATGCTTGCCAGACAAGTGCTTATTCTACTGAACCATCTCCCCGGTCCCCCTTTTTTAAAATTTTATTTATTTATTTTTTTTAAATTTGTGTGTGTGTGTGTGTGTGTGTCCCGCTCAGCTCACCAGGGGGCGAGGCTGGCTGGCATGTGGTGTTGGGGGATTGAACCGCGGTGCCTGTGTTTTGCTAAGCTTGTTCTAAGTAGGTGCTTTAGACCACTGAGCCATCTCACCAGCCCAATTTTATTTTATTTTATTGAGAAATAAATATGAATGAGACAGTTTCAAAGCTGAATAATAGGACCATTTCAATCATCAATACATTGTACATTGTTATCTTCTTAGTGGTTATCCATAGTACAAGAAGCAGACAGGATATCCTGTCCAAACATTATTAGTACACCTCTTTCTTCTCAATGAATTAAGTGAAAGTAGCTGTATATCTATCCTTTTTTAAATTTTTTTTTTAATTTGTGTGTGTGTGTGTGTGTGTGGCCAGCTCAGCCCACCAGGGAGCAGGGCTGGCTGGCATGTGGTGCTGGGGGATTGAACCGCGGTCCCTGTGCTTTGCTGAGCTTGTTCTAAGTAGGTGCTTTAGACCACTGAGCCATCTCACCAGCCCCTAAAATTTTTTTTTTTTAATTTTAAGTTTAATTTTATTTATTTTATGTATGTGGTACAGGGTTTTACTACACAGCTCTGACTCAGTGATCTTCCTGTTTTCAGCCTCCAAGTGCTGGGATTACAAGTGTGCACCACCATGCCCAGCTTGATTGAAGAATTCTTATTGGCCTAGCTTAAGTTTTTTGTTTTTTTTGTATTTTAGGGAAGGGTCTACAGGGTGTTCAGGGTCTCACTACTAGATCAGACTCATAGAGATCCACCTGTTTACAGCCTCCCAAGAGCTGGGATCACAGGTGTGCATCACCATACCCAGTCTCAATTGTCTTCTCAGTGCGCCCCGGGATTGAACAGCTGGCCAGCGGGCGCTTTAATCTGCTGAGCCATTTTGGCCTAGCTTAAATTTTAACAAGTGTAATTTTTAAATTATTAAAGCAATGCAATGGAGGATTGGATCAAGATTAGCAATATGTTGGTTATTTATTAAATTGACTAATGAGTGCTGGTGAGATAGCGAACTTTATAATAAAGCGCCTGCTTAGGCAAAGCACAGGGACCCTCTGTTCGGTCTCCAGCACCACATGCTGTGCCAGCCCTGCCCCCACGGCAGGCTGAGCTGGACTCTGGCCACAGAGTCTAGGCTTAGTGGCATACGCCTGTAATCCCGTTGCTGGGGAGGCTGAAAACAAAAGAGGATCACTGTGAGTCTGAGCTGTGTAGTGAGACCCTGTAACAACCAAATACATTAAAAAATAATAATAATAAAAACAATTGACTGAGGAGTATTTGTGAGTTAGCTGAACTATTCTGTTTCATTTATTCATTTATTTTACTGTCATGTATGAGGTATCCAGAGTACACAAAATATGTCAGGTATAGTGGTTGCCACCAGCCCTTGGGGAGGCTGAAGTAGGTTTGTCATGAATTTGGGCTACATAATGAGATCCTATCTAAGTAAATAAATCCAAATAAGTAAAGTAATGATTATTATAACAAATCACTTATTGGGGAAGTTCTTACCACTTTTGCAGAAACACTACCCCTTAGAAATACAACTGCACTACATTAGGGTTTCTCTTAGTATCTCCCACTAATTTGTCTCTTTCAATTTTGCCTCTCCTGTTATGTCTGTGTGCAACTTGGCAGAACAAGGTGGAGACATCTCAGCAGAGCAAGAGGTTACACGTATGAGCCAAGATGGGACTCTCACCCAAGAGGTAGTGTAAACATCCTCTTTACTTATTCATTAGTGGTACTAGAGATCCAGCCTGGCACTATGTGCCCTGCATCCATGACCTATTTTATTTTATTTTTTAAAATTTATTTATTTGTGTGTGTGTGTGTGTGTGTGTGTGGCCAGCTCAGCCCACCAGGGGGCGGGGCTGGCTGGC